ATATCATTATAATTAGTCTCAGTTACCCAAATGTGTAACACTAATATCAATGCTTTTCTTATAATGTTGTCTAAATATTCAATAAATTCTTGTTTTCACTAAAAATAAAAGTTAATAGTATTTTTGTTTTCATTATTCTCGGCTTATGTAAAGGAATAAATACGATTTCATAAGAAATAATGAATAATTAACAACAAAAACATTTTAGTTTATTGAAAAAAAGTAAAATTATAATACTATTGACTACTTCAAAGTATTTTAAAATCCTTTAGCTTTGATTATTAATTAATTTATGAAAATTATAATTTCCGGTATAACTAAATTTTATGATTGTAGTATCAATACAGAAATAATAACTTATTACTACATCTTATATTAATTTACTGCCAAATCTTATATAAATTTATAAAATGCTATGTTAACTAGTAACAGTAACCAATAACACTTCTAATCATACTGTATTATATTGGTAAGTTAAAATTCATTAAAACAAATTACCAAACAGCTTTTCCTATGCTTAGAGTTATTCAACAAGTGAAACTATTATTTTATAACTAAATTTTTGAATAGTAATTTGTCGATTATGTTAATCACTGATTGGTAGTAATATCGCCGCAAAATATTGATTCAAATTTACTTATAATTCACTGTTTATATTAATGTTTATTGAAATATTTCTTTGAGAACTAATTATTGGTTTTTTCGAAAACAACATTCAGTTCACAAGTGATTAGACTTTTATGTATGTATTCATTATAAAAATAAAATATATTTTTAAGAATTTTTATGTTAATTATTATTTTGAATGCTTTCCAAATGTATTTTACATTTTATTATCCTTATGCTTGCAAATTTAAAATTCAATAATAAAATGACATCTTTTATTTTATCACATTTATTGTGATGTTTAATAAATATTTTAAAAAACTTTTAATTAATTAAATTAAAAGTATAAATTCTTTTGGTGTGATTAATAGATACAGTACAGTTTAAGTATTAGTGTTAATAAAGAATAACATTTTAAAGTATCTGTAATTATATTTTAAATATTCAATGCATTGGTTTATATAAAATAATATACTCGTTTAACTTTTGTTTTTCATTCAGCAAATTTATTATAAACATATTTTCCTTTATAAATTAGATAATTTATAATGTTTTCTATAATAAACAGAAATCTCAATTCTTTATTTGAAATTTCAACTAGTTGCATTTTAATTTTTGACTCTTGATTTGAAATTATTTACTTTTAGAAATAATTTCAAATATTAATTTCATTGAATTGTGACCAAAACACGACATGTACTCTAATAAAAACATCAAATGACAATTATTTATTATATTTGTTATATAAATAGACACGAAGTGAACAATAATTGTTTGATTTAATGGTAAAATTGACAAAACGTGTCACATCTTTGCGTTCATTTTATGCGAAAGTTTGTACCCTCTCTACAGTCTCTACAGTCTCTACATTTACTATACATTTGTTCAGCCATTCCATGCAATTCTTACACCATTTCTATGAATAGAATTTCTTTTTGCTGAACACTAATGACCTCTCCTTAAAGACTAAAGGGTTTTGCGTTTATTTATCAAAACGATGGAAAATGTCATTTATATTCAAGTCATTAATTTGTGTAAAATTTCTTATTTCATTAGATATTCGATTACACAGAGCTCTCGCAATCACAGGCTATACTACCCGTCGGCTCTCCCATCGATGCCAACCAAACGACTCCCGTCTCCAACGCAACCACACCGACACCGGCTGTCATAACCAAGGGGTCGGGTGGTCGTCGGTCATGGCATGAATACGGCCGCAACTCAGAGATCGATAAAATACAGATACCAAAAATGTATGCATATATTAATACATTTCAATAGAAAAAGTCCAAAATTTAGAGTTTATTACACTCTTTAGAAACGAAGTCTTTATCTAATTGTGTGCTCAGAGTAACCAAAAAAGGCATTTAAGACAGAACTGAAATGACCTTTAAATCCTCGAATGAATTAACTTTTATATATCGGGCGGAGCTCTCATTGCCGGCTTTATTGCACTTTTTGGGCTTTTATCCCAAAAGCAAACTAATATGACATAAGTTATCACTTTAGCCATAGGCTATGCCAGCAATAAGTCGTTCGCCAATACCTCTACTTTATTCTCATTTAGTATTCCTTTACTAATTAATAATAAAATTTGAAATATATTTTGCATTATTATTAAAGTTGATTTCAGTTTGAATACTTTGTATAATCCTAATTAAGTAATTATTGCTTTAGATTTGACGTGTAGTTAGATTTCAGCCAATAAATGAATGGTTTCTCTAAATGACTACACTATACTATATCCTAATTTGAATTGAATGTGAATAACATAATGACAATACATTACAAACAATAGACACTCAGACGTGGGATTCAAATACTATTTGGAGTCTCCGATATCGACGAGTCAGAGACGAGAGGACGATAGGGTCACGTATATAAATAAGGGCCAGTTCTATGGCATTACCTTAGAGTATATTCCAGATGCGGACAAACCACTCAAGAGTGCAACTGTTAAGGTAACCCTCACCTCATCACATACCTCACGGATCGACTAACGGATTGTTTGTCTTTCAGTCACTAATAATGCTTGTATTCCGAGAGGAGAAACTACACGACGAGGAGATCAAGGCCTGGCAGTTCTGGCACAGCCGACAACATAGTGTCAAACAACGCATTCTTGACGCCGACACTAAAAACTCGGCCGGAATTGTCGGTCCCATTGAAGAAATAACACACAATGCGATCGCTTTCTATTGGAATCCATTGGAAGGACCGGCAAAAGTATAATTGAATTCATGTTGAGATTGAAATCAACTAAATATTTATTATTACTTGAGGTCAACGTCGCCGTCCAATGCCTCAGCACTGACTTTAGTAATCAAAAAGGAGTGAAAGTAATAAAAAAGATCTTTTATTACAAAACGTGTGTTTTTTACTAATTAAACATTTCGTTCAAAGGGTCTTCCATTACATTTACAACTCGACACTTTTGATGACTTTCGGGAGGGCAGTACACCTGTCCATCGGGGCTATGTTCAGATCAAAGTCTTCTGTGATAAGGTATTACTTAATATACAGTATATACCATAGAAATATCAATTATATTAAACAGTATTTATAATTATTGATATCATTTGACACAAAAGGGCGCCGAAAGAAAGACAAGGGATGAGGAGAGAAGGGCTGCCAAAAGAAAACTTTCTGCCACTGGAAGTATGTATTTGTTTCATATAAAAATGATATATACGGTATATGTATCACTAAATATGACTACGATAATCATTAATTTATATGAAATGTAAAATATGTGATAATAAAAAATGAATGAATGAATTTTGATGACTAGACGGCCGAAAGAAGATGGAGGAGATGTATCACCAGACGTGTGAACGATCAGAATTTTACGCAATGAGTGATCTGTTGAAACCACCGGTTCTGTTCACACCGAGTGATGACATTGAAAAAGTAGTTCAGTACACCAATAACTTCTAGACTCGACCACATTTTAAACAAATGCTTTTTGCATCAAACAGATAACAAGCGCCGACATTAACTTCTATGGCGGACACAATTCCAATGATATGAGTTCCACAGAATACGACACCGACTCACAATTGCCCTCAATATCCACACCCATTCAAACCATCACAGCAACTATAGCACCGGCCGGGTATACCTTATTTAGTGATCACATTTAGCTCACAATAATTTATAATTATTTTGTTTGTATTCATGATATAACAGACGCGAGCGAACTATTGATCCATTGTCTGCATCATTAGAGATGGCTATATCTCCCTGTCCTCCAAAGAAAATCAAGTTAGAGAGATATCCCGACACTAGTGAAAGGGGTAATACTCATTGTATTCATTGATATGGCATCCAATGTCTCACTTTTATATAACTTTTACAGTTCTATTGTATGCAAAACAAGAAAATGAAGAAATCTTCCATCCCTTGCATTTAGTGCCCCCAACTTTAGTCGGATTAGCTCTCTCTGTTAGTCCATACATTGCTTTTGCATTTAATGATAGCTACTAATATTTATGTTTATATTTAGATTGAAAACAAGTACAAACTCGAAGCAAAAAATATAAGGAATATTTACAAACGATGTAAAAAAGGGTAAGTTTTTTTATCAAAGTTCTCTCTCTCTCTCTCTCTCTCTTTCTTTCTTTCTTGTCTTTCTCGCCATATAATAATTATTTCATTTTTTCAATGCTCTCATAATAAAGAATTAACTAGGTAATAGGCTGAGTATGAAATTGAATATTATATAAAAATATGAATATAATATAATATAAATATTGTATTAATCTAAAGATTGTGTAATTATTTAGAATAACGGTTCAAATGGATGACGATATGGTTAAGCATTATTCACATGAAGACACAGTTCTACTGGAAGTGCATCAGATCGATGAGGAGACTCATGACATAACACTTGTTGAATACGATATGAACTAATTTTATAAATATTTCATATAATATATAAACCGAGTCGATATGTATTCAATGGACGATACTATTGACTAAATCGCTGCCAAATTTTGTGGAACTGAATCTCAATTACATTAATTTAATACAGAATTAAATCCTCTACTTATATACAAGACTTAGAACCGGTGTTTGCGGTAATCAGTGTCTCAATGGATTGAAACTCCGATCTGACTTTGAATTGCAATTTAACGATTTAATCCTAAAATCAAATTAAATATAGTTATATATTTAAAGGCAATAATTCATTCAAAATCAAAGCTATCATCAAATATCAAAACCTAATCAAAAGTTATTTTATTTGGTATTTATATATAAATAATATTTTCATACATTCCTCTCTTCATTCAAACTATAATTTTTTGCCATTTCTCTGATCAATGAAATGATACTCAAAACTGTAAAACTCGTGATTTATCGCAGCTATACATTCATTAACTTAATATTAGTTATATTTTAATTGACACTTAATTTCATAACAAATAATTTCATAAATCATTACCAAAATTATTCAAAATTCTTTTCAATCACTAACTATAAGGCGTTTCCAAATAATGATGCATTTGACCACAAAAACTAATTAAATTAAATTGAATTTGAATTGGATATCAATCACTTTTTAATTTTTTGCACATATACATTTTTTTGTTGTAAAATCTATTTCCAAAGCATTCAAATAGAAATTTAATTTATTTAAAGCTCAATTTCATCAGTAAATATTGTATTTTTAATCTAATAATATTTTTTATTTACACATTTCTTTCATATTGTGACCACATTTATGAGATAATAATCTCTACCAAAGAATCAATGAATTAAGTGCATGAATAGATTTTTTGCTCACAATTCTGTAATTCTATGAATGAGATGTTATTAACTTTTTTGTCACATTTGCGAGAAAAGCACAAAAAGCGTGAAACAAATCATTGGTTCACATCCTGTGTCTCACTTTAATTGTTTTGAAACTTCGATAACAAACGAGAAAAGCTCATCAATTTTGTGTGTTTTTTATTTTATTTATTTATTTTAAGCCTCAATTCATTTCAGTTTATGTTTTTGAGTTCAACTCTACTTATTTGTCAAATTAATTATGAAATAAACATTTTATTGAATATATTTCCATTAATCATATACCAAGAATTCAATTCAATCAAAAGTTGTACTTTTTATTACTTGGAGGGATTTCTACAGTTTAATAGGTTGTGCCAAATAAATAACATTTTTCTTTTTCATTTCCAAATAATATGTTTATAATGAAAATGTGTTAATAATGTTCTGATTTACAAAAGAAATGTGATAAACATTTTGGCTTATTTCATATTTCATTGATTAAAATGATTTAAAAATTTTAAATTTAGTTTTCAGTAAGAGAGTGATTGATATCTAGTTTTAGTTCAGTTTACAACAATCCGATGCCATCCAAGTGTAATAAGCCCTGTCCTTACGACTATCTCTTTAATGTTTAAACCCTCTAATAATCACTTTTTAGTAATTATTGAATTTATAAATAATGTTGAGCTTACAGTTAACTATATTCTCAATACAAAAGTTAATTTAAAAATAGTTTTACGTTTAAGTCGTTTTCTCACAAATATTAGAGTATTATAGGGAATAACGACATGAAAGGCAGGCGTCTGTGCAATGGGGGATCAAAATTGGGGGCTTTATTACAAATGTTATTAAATTTATTTAATAGCACTAATCAAACAAAATATCTGGTAATTGGGAAATAAGTGACAATTTTACTGACATTTATTTTGTAAATCTATAATTTAATTTTTCTTATAATTATATACACAAACATTTTTATAAATATAAATAAAATATAAATATATATATTTTGATATTTATTTTTATATACCTATTGGTAAGGTATTCAGAATTTTTTAATGAACTAAATTTATTATAACATTATTATACACCCGATTTTGAATGTATATTTAGATAATTCTAATTATAATTATTGATGCAATAAAATCATACAATTTATTATTTAATTAAATGTACCAAATCTCTAAATTCTTTT